TGCATTATCACTTAGCAGTGAGTGTTCTGCTGGTGCCAATGATTTTAATCTGGTTACCAACACTCCTGTGTTTCTCGGGATACTAACACTTTTAAGACATCAATAATGCTTACTTTATGCTTATTGAATGTTTTTTCAGCTCTTCCTCTTCCATTATCAAAAGGGACTGGCAGGTTTCCTGACATGGTTGGGACCATTTTCTGATTTCACGGAGTTTTGTGGCTGAAGGGGAATTTGAGAGGTCATTTGGCTGGCCTAGAGGTAGGGACAGTCTTAAATTCAAAGGGAAAAAAGGCTCCTCTGTGATGTCTCTCAAAGAAAGAGACTCATCTCCCAGCCGATCTTAACATTTCTCACTGTCAGGAGATACTTCTTTATTTTAAATACCCCAGGTGTCATAAAGGGAGATTACCCCACTTTCTCTTATTGGGTTTTCTATGGACGCAGAATATATGTAGTATTTTTCTGCCTAGGATTCCTTTGAAAATATGTCCCACTATATATTTTTCAGTATTCTTTTTAATATAATACTAAAATGTATACTTTCAATGATTATCTTTTTTTTCCTCTGTCTTTAATTAAATCTAGATCTCCTTTCACACTGGACTAGGAAGACTGGATCTTATAAATGCCCTTATCCACTTGTCATATATGCAAGCATTCTGATTTATGTATTAATCTATGTATTACTATTATCATTAGGAGGCTTCAAGCTCTAATATTTTCTTAGATTAGAAACCTCATAGAGATCAGATATATTTTATAGCACCTTTCCCAGAAACATAGAGAAGAAGAAACGATAAATACTTTTTGATGATGATATACTATCATAGTAGTACTACTTTTTTTTTCTTTTTTTTTCTGGAGAATGCATAATCTAAGTAAGACTCTGACACTTCAAATAAGGCCATTAGGTTGGTCACTCAATGATAGGCTATCTTAATTAGTAATGGAGAAAATATACTTACTCTCTTTCTTTGGTAACAGCAGAACTTCTTGTAACCATCAACTTTAATCCATCTTCATAAACTCTCCATACTGAGAAACAAGATGTAAACCATATGTCTCAGGCAATAGGATGACTTTGGTCTGAACCGGGTAAGATGACTTGGTTGACCAGCCCCCTCCCAACCACTCACTCTAACCTGACAAGAGGAGAGAAAATGCTGAATCTTGGGTGCCTGGGTGGCTCAGTTGGTTAAGTGTCTGCTTTCGGCTCAGGTCATGATCCTGGAGTCCTGGGATGGAGCCCTTCTCAGCAGACTCACCCTCCCCTGGTTCCTGCTTGGTCTCTCTCTCTCTCTCAAATAAATAAATAAATAAAATCTTTAAAAAAAAAAGAAAATGATGAATCTTTATATCACTCTTCTTACTGAAGTGGATAATACTGATCTATGTTTGGGGAAAAATGATACCGATGTTTTGATAAACTTTTCTTTGAGACAAAGCATTATGAGCAAGATCCCCACTAGAAAAAGGAAAGAAATACCACCTCGGCCTCAGAAAGTACAGCACATTTTTTTTTTTAAGTATGATTTACAAACCATCCAAAATTTCCACCTGGGATTTGAAGTTGGCAAGAACCAAAACATCAGCTTTCTTCTTTTTTCTCTTTTTTTCTATTTTGCCACTCTCATTTCTCAGTGTTTATTATTGTTTCACCTGCCTTGAAATGGGAAATGTGAGCACTTTGATGAATGGCCTAAAAGATGATCTAGTTTCTCTCCGGCATCTTTCTTTAAGAATCTCAGGATTTTTCTATGAAATACAATTTGGTCAACTTCTCTACCAAAGCACAAAGCTGAAGAAAGCAAGTTTTGAGAGTATTTGCTGTTTTTTAAGGTTCATAAGGTTTAAGGGGGAAAAAACTTAGCAAAGGAATTTCATAATACGCATATACATACAAATTAACGCCTTTAGTGAAGGCAAGTAAGGTTAAACAAAATACTGAAGACCATTTCGTGAATGTGAATTCCATATCTGGTTTGACATGGTCCTTCTTAAAGTCTACGTTAAAACCTTTCTTGCTAAGTTGATGTAACAGTCATAATTCTCCCATTGTACTTCCACCATGATTGGGAAAGAAATAATGTCTCAGGATGAGGTATTTTGTAAGGCCAGTCTTCAAAACTATAAAATAATGGAACTACTTTTATAATGTTTCTCAGTGATAATATTACCTGGTTGTATTATGCATCTGCATACTAAAGATGTCAGAGCACCAACCTATATGTATGTAACCATTGTGTCTTTTTGGACATGGTCTTCCTGTGCCCCAGCTAAATCATGACCATCCCTGAGACAATGCTTTTCACATATGTCACATAGCTTAAGTGATGAACAAAGGAAGCTAATCTTATATCCCAATATGTTTTTCTTGTTTGCTATAGGATTAAAAGTCTCACTCTCTAGGGGCTGTTTCATTTCTTGGTAGTATGGCATTATCCTCATTCAGACATGCAGGTTGTCTTATTTTGGACTCTTGCAGTAGATTCAAACTTGGCAATAAGAAGACATGACAAATACCAAATATTTTCAAAGGATAAAATGGCTAGAACATATCACACAAGATCACCTTAGTTTTGAGTCTGGACTTTTGGGATTATGGTGAAGCATTGAGAAATGGGAAAACAAAGTTTATGAAATAGTTGAGGCTATCAGGTCTGGATCGGAGCATATTGAGAATGAAATGCTATTGGGACATCGAGGTGGGATATCTGACCCGCAGGTAGAGATGCAGAACGAGAGCTGGGGAGAGATGTGAAGCCTGTACATACAAATGAGCGATGGGGCTTGATGAGTTCACAAAATAAGTGTTTAGAAGAAGAAAGAAGCCTGAAGACCTTACCTTGTAAAACAAAAGCTATTTAAAGGACTGTGGAGGGAAGATGAGCCAATCAGGTCAAAGAAAGAAAGGAACTCTCAGGAGCTGAGGAAAACACCTTGGGAAATTCAGTGTCACAGAGAGAGCTGAGGGAGTCCAATAAGTAGAGAGAAGATAGGGATTTGAGGAAGGGTTACTTGGTCTGATATTTAGAGATTACTAGTGATCTTCAAAAGATAAAAATCAGGATTTAGTAGCACAGTGCGAGCAGGAAACTTGGTTGCAGTAGTAACAAAATGGACTGACACAGCCTCTGCTAGAGCTCTTTCCTTACACAGCTGTTTGTTAAGCACTTTATACTCCTAAACTCATTTAATCTTGATAGTAACACTATGAGGTAGGTACTCTATTATCCCCGACTCACAGATGAGAACTGAGACCTCTCTTTCAAGACAGGTATTGTTATTACATGTTTACAGATAAGGAAACTGAGGCACAGAGATCCGAACAATCTGTCCAAGCCCAAACAACAAATCAGTATCAGAACTGGTGTTTGGGCCCAGGAAATCATGCCCAAGTGTCTATTCTCTTGACCACTTCACCACTGCATGATGAGGATGCGTAGGTGGCAATGCACGCTTTCTCTTAAGACATCTAGAGGAAGGAGAAATAACTTCTTAAAGTGAACTTGGACAGCAGGTCATGGTCTGGGAAGTTCAAGAAGTAACAATCACCATGGCAGGAATGAAGGAGAGCAGAAAGTTAGGACATGAGGTGGATTTGAGATCAGAGGGAGCTGAATTTGGCATGAGGGAGTCATGCGTATGCGTGTGTGTGTGTGTGTGTGTGTGTGTGTGTGTGTGTGTGTGTGTGTGTTAGGTCACTGGCTCAATGTCTTCTTTGGCCATGAGTTAAGATGATGGTGCCAAGTGCAGCAGAGAGGGCTCAGGGACCCAGGGCGATGATGCTTGGGGAGCTGTTGGAATGAAGACTCGCAGCCATCACTGGGGACTGACACATGGGAGGTGCCCAAGTAGACAATGGCTCTGGTCTTTGCTTCATCCTGCTCTTTGCTTGTTTGATTTTTAAAAAATTTCTTTTAGGGGAGGAAATAGGAAAATACATGTGTTAAATTTTGTGTTTGAAGGATGCCCAAGCTGTTACCAATATTGGCACATTTAAATAATAATACATTCTCTAAGCTACTGAAGGTTTACAATATAAAGGGATACCATGACTGGGACCATCCTATTATAAGAGTGTTGACCAATCTATGTGGTTAGGATTAAAGGCAACTCTGAAAAACGTCCACAGAAAAAAAACAATGGTGAGCAAATACACAAATTGTATTTTTGATACTTCTTTAATTCCCAGGATTAAGTAAATAAAGAGCTTCTGTCTTGATTATGAACATTAGTAAACAAAATGTGCTTTCCTTTCTACAGGTACTTTTAATTGCTGAACAAATCTTATATATTCACCACCAAGCCAGGTTAATTCAACATTTCCATGTGCACCACTTCTGTTTAAGACAGGTGTCTTAATTAAATAAACTAATAATTTTGCAAGGAGAAGCACAAAAGCATAATTATCTAATTTGCTAATTGTTCAGCTATGTTGATTTGCATATTTGTTAGTTGTAACATGAACAAGTAGTTTGTATATGTGTATCCTACCGTTAAAGTAATGAAACCACTCTTGGGATTAGCATTTCCTAAAGTGTGTTAATAGATGCTATGTAAAAAGGACTCCAGTTGAATAAGGCTGAAAAATGCTAGACTAGAGAAAATGGAATAGTTTTATTCTGCAGGAGGTCTAGAATCCTAGAATGGGATAATATGCATCTTAACTATGAGATACACAGTGCTCTGCTTTACAGACTATGTATGGAAACCCATTTTTACAGGTGAACATCTCAGGGCACTAATGTTCTGAGGAGCACATTTGGGAAAATGCTCTTTTAAGTTGTTTTAACAATAAGTTGGTCTCACATTTTTTTTTACTGGTCACTCCATTCTGTAATCAGCATGGGGCAGGAAAATGAATTAAAGAGGCATATTTTTTTGTGTCTGCGTCTCTACATCTCTCTCTCTCTCTCTCACACACACACACACACTGCTCTTTATAGCTACTTACAGTAAACATGCAAACCTCCTTATTTCCCCTTTTATTATAGGCATATTGACAGGCTTGCTACCCTTCAAAAACTATGCAGTAACCCTAACTGCTTGCACTTTGGCTGGCTGTACCGAGAGCTCACAGGCATTGAACATCTCTACTCCACAAGAAGGTAAAGTAATTTCAAAGGTCTTGACTTCCACATTTCAGTTATGAATAATAAAATAGGAGAAGAGCTAAATGCTGCAAGGCCATTTGCTGGAAAACCCCAACCTAATTTGATGACAAAGTGCATTGCCAGGCCATAATTGCTCCATTTTTGGGGGGGGGGTGCGAAAATGAATCAAACTCCATACCCTTTAATGACATGCATCTTTAATAGCTGTAATGCAGATTAATGGGCTTTTTAATTGCTGTTACATTGTTCATGCAAGAGCCTTGTCATTAATATGAAGCATCTGAAAGATTAATGAAAGCTTCCTCATTTTACTATGGCTCAGAAGTAAATCTAGAGACAGTCTGACTAAAAAGAATTGATTGTACGGCACAGTATGAAATTGAGAATCAAACGGTTGATTTCCATGGTCTCTTTGAACTGCTAAACACCAGCACAGGCAACAATTATTTCAGTATGATGGAGCCTCCACATGCCGGTTGGGGCATTATTAATCACTGCTCGGTTCCTTCTGACTGAAGTCTCACTTTTGTTGTACTTGGAACTTACAAACTGTTGGCATAAATTAATGTTTCAGAAAGCATACGTTTAGAAAGCAGTGAGAAAGAGAAAATATTTTAGCACTCCAAAGTGAAAGCTTTGCTCAAGCATCAGAACACATCACTTCAGGAAATAACAGCCCTCCAAACATTTGAAGCATTGTTACTTCATATTTCTCTCTCCTGGATGAGAGGAATTATACATTTCTTCCGTCTAGCTGTCAAGTTATTTAGGAGATTGAAAAACTTGATCCTTGGGGGAAGAGTCAGCCAGTCTCTCTCCCTCAGCATCTGTCCGCCTCCTTCCTGGCTCCCTCTTTTTCCCCTTCCCTCTTGCAAATCCTTTAGCAAGTACCCCTCACACAGAACACATGAAAGAGAAAGACAGTGGCCTATGTGACGAAACAGGATAGAGGGGTCTGTGAAGTCCTTCATGTGACCTTGCCCCAATGAAAGCCTCCTCACCTGGACTACGCCACCAGTGACCCCATCACCCATGTTTTCTCAGGGTTCTCTCGGTCCAGCCTGTGGAGAAAAGCACTGTTTCTCTCACTGTGGCCTTGCTTCTGTTGGGCCACGTGATCCACGTGATGGTCCTCTCCTTTTACAAATGCTTCCGCCAGCCTCAGTATGGGGCAAGCGTCCTTACTTTCTCAATACCCCTACCCCCTCTGTCCAGGTTTTGCCTGAAACCCTTCAAACCTACTTTCACAGCTGTATCCCAGAGGCATTCCTACTGGTCCAGTTCACCGTTCCCTCTTCATTATTTAAGGAATTCCCAACGTCTAGATTTTTCTTAAAGTTACTGCCAAGGTACCAAACCATAGATGTTTTTAGGGTCAATATTTTAAAACTTTTAGTTCCTGTGATTCCAATTGATTCACCATTACAGAAAATGAACAGAACCTTATTTGAAAAACAAACAAACAAACAAACTGACACACAATGTTGTTTTCATATATAATTAATTCAATTGATTCTTTACTTGCTGGTTATTGCTACAGAAACACATAGGCTTTTTTGTATCTATTATGAACCACCCTCACCAGCGTTGCCCACCTTAGATCTAAAGCTCCTCAAGGGTGGGAACTCCATCTGTTCGATTTGATTTAACAGGCACAGCCCCAAGGAGAGAGTATGGGTTAATAATACTTCAAGGAGTATTGATGAAGTAACGCAAGCATCAGTCAAATGAACTAGTGTAATACTCCCCATCCATCATTAAGGCAAATTCTCATAAATTCAGGACACTTATTTAGTACTGTTCCTAAAGTAATTATTGACAAGCTGCCCACGAATCAGGAATATTTCTCTGCATGGGATTTCAAGTTTATTTCATCATTTATTGGTTTAGGTCTGAAAAGTTTGAATTAGGAAAGTAAACTAAAATTAGACACTATAAATCTTTTTTTTCTTTTTCACAGCCCCACAGGAAGTTCAGCCACCGGTAGCCAAATCTCTTCCCAATTCTTTGTTACTGTCCTGGAATCCACCCAAAAAAACAAATGGTATTATAACTCAGTACTCTTTATATATGGATGGGATGCTAATCTATTCGGGCAGTGGAAGGAACTACACAGCCACAGGTAAAACTTCTGTAGCTATCAGTAAATAGTTCTAGTCTGGGTTAGACTATGTATATTTCAGATGTCTGTAGTCTGTAATTGTCTGAAAATGTGGTCTTTAAAATTGGGGTACTTACTGTGTCTCCTCTTATCTGGTCCCCTTGTGTGGTCCCTCGTCACTCTCACCAGGCCCAGTTGAGTCAGTGTCATTTCAAACAAATTCCACTGTCACACGAGTTAACTACTTTAACATCCTCATGAATACAGGATAATATTAAGACTCAGATATGTGACTCAGTGTCATCTGAATTTTGGGTCATTTGAGAAGAAATATAGTATATATGCCGAAATCGTATTGTAACGTGTGACGACACTTGAGTAAAATAAGGTAAATTGCTGAAAACCTCGTAAAACCCAAGAAGCCTATATTATGTCTTGTTTCCTAGTATCTGAATCATGCTTATGTTTGTGTAGTAATTTTAGTGGTTATATATTGTATAGTATTTTATATACTCTATGTGACTATCCGGCAAGACATCATGAGTCAAATATTGACTGATGAAAAACTGAGGCCTAGAGATATGGCGCTCTTCATGAAAGGTCACAACCAGGAAGAGGCAGAGGCAGGATTAATTATTTGTGTATTCAGTTCTCCACATTAATGCCAGGTGCTAAGGCTGTAACAAGGAATCAGCGGCACGCTGGCCCTCCTCTGTTGGTGCTCATGGCTTCGGGGGAAAACACACAGATGCAGGGATGAGGTATTTGTGGACAGGGCTATGGCATTTACCCGGTGGCATCCTCCGGCTTTACATTTTTGTGTCCTTTCTAGACTGAGAACCTTCAAGGGACAAGAGCTATTAATTTAATATTGTGTTCCTTGAGGTTGGATAGAATTCTGTAATACATGTTCTAGGAGGGAGGTGCTATTATTACCCCCAGGTTACAAATGAGGAAATTGAGGCAGAGAAAGATTAAGGAACATCTTCAAAGTCACACAGCCCATGAGTGGGATTTTGATACCAATCCATGCTTTCTGGCTGTGATGAAGAACCTGTGGTCTTAAAAAAGTTACTTCACTTCTAAGACTTAGTTTATGAATCTGCAAAATGGGAACAACTACAATTTTCAAGATTCTAAAGAGAACTGGAGTTATAAATAAAACACCTAACATGTTCTTAGCACTTAGTAAAGAGAATTATTTCCTGTAGAATGCAGAGTTCATGTTTTAAACTTTAAAATAGATTAATCTTCCCCTAACAATGTCTGAAGGCATTATTTTAATTAAATGTTATATGCCAGAGAAATTACTTCAAAAGAAATGAAAACATATCACGGAATGAACTATACACATGAATTAATAATTAATATAAAACACTCTGTAGGACCAAAAAATATCATCACCATGCATAATAGGAAAACACATCTTTTAGGCCCAGTACAGACATTTCCTCTGAGAAACCTTTTCTGATGCCCCAAGTATGAGTTGATCCGACACAGGTATGCTCCTTGGAAACTTCTGTGCCTCCTTTTTTGTGTGTTTGTGTGCTGTCTTTTGAATAAGGTTGCTTATTTACTTGTCAGTTTGCCCTTCTGAACCCTAAGCTTCATAAACACATGGCCCTAAGTGTCTGGTTCTTTAGTGCATCTCCAGGACAGGGTGGGTATAGACCGTGTTGAATAAATGAATGAATAAAGTCAGGTGATTGCTGGGGACAGAAAAAGAAGCCAGAAAAGGGGAAATTGTGGAGGTTAGGAGTAGGGTGGGAAAGAAAGAGTGGCAGAGAAAAGAAAAAAGAAAGGTAGAAAAAGAAACTAAGATCCCTTCCATGGGTAGACACGAGTGCTAGCCCAGTCCATAGAGAAGTTGTGTGGCTGATAGCAGGTCTCAAAACGTAAGGCTCGACTATCTGCAAACTGCGCAGAATATCGTTTGAGGTGACAGACACTGTGCAGAGCCAGAAGATGAGCAGTGTGGGGAAGACGGGAGGCCAGAATTCACATTGATCTCCAATACTACTTCCAAAATGATGCTAATTCTGTATTTTGTTTGATGGAATCAGCAACAGAACCATGTGACTCTGGGGTCTGCAATGAAAAATCTTGGCAAATGTTACCATAGTGGATTAGTACGATAGATGCCTCCCAAATATAATCTAATGTAAAGAAAGTGGAATATTTTTGTAGTGCCCACAACCATCTTCTCAAGCTACAGAGATAATAGATTCTTTAATGGTTTTCATTTTTTATGTAGATTTTTGAAGATTAAATCTTAGGTAGTACTTTTTTTTCCCTACAGCCTTCTTGGCTTATAATAAGCAACTGTATTTCTTGCCATTCTCATCCCTAAATGCCAGAAGATATGAGGCACATTGAGACTGCAACACGAAGGAGAGAAACGAAGCCAAGAACCTTATGATGGGATTCAAAGTTGTGCATGATTGTTCTAACATTAGAGCTAGTAAAACTGAGGCCCAGAGAGGTTAAGAAATTCTAATCTGAGTTGGAGGAACCACTTCAAATCTGGATCTGTCTGGCCCCAGAGTCCATGCTTTCGTTCTTTCCCCATTCTGCTGCTCGAATTATTACATATTATCTTATTTTTTACATAAATAAATATGATATATTATTACACATTCACATACTGTGTAAATGTTTTGTGTAAATGTGTAAATTATCAACATATTAACATAAACATATTGTGTAAATATGCAAATATTTACACTGCAGGTGAATGTTACATAATATGTAAACATTACAGATTTACATAAAGAAATATTACAAATTATTACATACGATTTTATTTTTCCTCCCAACAACGCTGACAGGGAGACCAAAACCTGATTGCAAACCCCAGAGCACCTGTGTTATTCTTTTTTGGGCTCCATAACAAAATACCACAGACTGGCTGGCTTAAACAACAGAAATTTATTTCTCACAGTTCTGGAGACTAGAAGTCCAAGATCGAGGTGTTGGCAGGTTTGGTTTCTCTTGAGGCCTCTCTCCTGGGCTGGCAGACAGCTGCCTTCTCACCATGTCCTCCCAAGGTCTTTCTCCTGCGCGCACAGCCCTTTCTTACCCGGTCACCAGTCCTGTTGGATTAGGGTCCACCCTTATGATCTCATTTAACCTTAATCACCTCTTCAAAAGTCCCATTTCCAAATATAGTCACATTGGGAGTTAGGGCCTCAAAATATGAATCTGGGGGAACACAGTTCAGTCTGTAAGAGCAGCCTAAAGGGAGTGCTTTCTCTACCATGAGCTTAGGCTGAATGCCCACCTTTGTATAGATTCTCAAGTCGTGTGAGGATTGAAGAAAGTGGCCTTTAAGATCCCTTTCAACTCTAAGATTTTATATCCATAATAGGCATTAATTTCAGGTCTGTTAGGTCTTCAACGTCTACCTGTCCACTAGGAATCACAAGAAGGTACAATGCGAAAGGGAATCTGTCTGTCTAAAGTCAGCTAGGAGAAGGCTGATTAGAGGAAACTGCCCTGGCCACTTGAACAGGCTCTAGCCTCTCCACACACTGCGTCTGTGCCATGTTCTGTCACCAGATGTGCCTATGATGTGATCAGAACTTGTTACTCATCTCTGTGTCAGGATCTCTGTGAACTAACCTCCTGTCCATGCGGAGAGTGGCTTGTGGGTGGAGCTTCCACTGGTGAGGGCTGGTGCTGTCAGTAATAGAGTCTAGGGCTGTTAGAATGGGTCTCTTCAGTGCTGAAATGCCAGTTCATAGGGAGACAGAGAAATGGAAGATGCAATCTAATGGATTAGAGAAATAACTGATAATATTTTTCAATTATAAAAGCCACTATATGCTTATTGAAGATAATTTAAAACATCCAGATGTCTAATACATGATAATCCCACCGTACCGGTAGAAGCTCAGTGTAAAATATAATTCCTTCTAGTACCTTATTCATGTTAACAAAATTGATCTGTAATGTATAATGTTGAACCCTGGCATATTTCCTTATTATGACTGCAACCCACTTTATGAAGCATTTTTCCTGAAAATATTTTGAAATATTTTAATACTAACATCAAATATCCCACCCAAATGTATGCTAATGCATTTAACCACTTGAAAGAGTTCAAGTTTCTCACTTCTCTCTCTTTTAAATATGTTGGTGACAAATATTATTGTATGTAATCTTTGTTTATTAGATTTCCAAAAGGGGAATGGCTAAGTCAAAGGTAGTGAACCTTTCTGAAATATTTGATATACATTTTCATACTGTTTCCCAGAAAAGTTCATCAGCAGGGCATGTTATATTCTTAAATCTTTGATAATTTTGCAAGTGAAAAATATTATTTTATTTTTGTTTGCCTGTTGAACTACTAGGTATAGGGCATACTTTCTGCATGTTTATTAGAGATTTATATTGTACTTTGATTCAGCTGATCACAGCCTTGATGAGCAAAAATTTAATAGGTGAGGAATAATTTTGAAACTTCCTCAAGAGCTGTGTTTTATACCCTGTTTTCCCTGGTTGTAATCATCTGCACTATTTAAAATTCCTTGTCTTCTACCCTATCAAAAACTTCCTTAATAACCTGGCTTAATGTGTCCTCCTAAATATTCAAAATGTCAACCTTTTTTTCCTCACTCTTACTCCATTTATTTGTAGCTTCCTCTTAAGGTCCCACATAGAACATATTCTTCTGTTATGTGCAGCAAATGGATCTTGCTGCCATGGTGGATACAGGTAAAAGTAAATGCATTTCACTTCAGAAGCCACTTAGCATCCCAGTGGTTTGAATTTTTTTTTTCTTCTTTCTCTTAAATATGAAGCATTAAAAGTCAAAGGCATTGCTGCACCTTGAGTTAGTACAAAATATATTTAAAAATGCATACAGTTCAAATTTTTTGCCTTGCATAGGCCATAAGCTAGTAGTATGGTGGGTCAGTTGTGACACTGAAAAATGAATCCAGTTAGAGAACCTCCCGAAGGCTGTTGATGTTTGCTATAATAAATAGCACACACTTTAAGTCAAACTTTTTCATTCTGTA